CTATTTGTATACAACCCCCAAATCAATCCATAGGGATAATCAGCAAACCCTAGGGAACAGCACTAAGGCTGCATTTGGCATTGCGTTGAACATGGACTTTTCTCCTTTTTAGCCAACAGAAAAGGAGAAAAATTGGTTTTGAGTGTTTGGTGAGCAAACATAATCGCTTTTTAAACCGTAAAAGTCAAAAAAAAAAAAAAGACTCCTCTTGAGTGGGGAATACTCCACCTACAACCAATGAGACAACAAAAAGACTCCCAAACAAAGAGCACAAAAGGGCAAGGGATCAATTAATGGGATAGGGATTCACCATTTTCGAAGCAAAGAAAACACACATGGAGAGAGAGGCATTTATTAGACCTTCTTTTTTAAAGCATGTCAGAGGTGTTAACTTTCCCAAGAAAAACCTCCCAACATAGAACTTGAATTTTGGGTGGAATGGGCTTACTCCATATTTGCGTCACCAGGAAATTCCCTCCCCCAATTGGAGATTGCACTAGAGAATTGAAAAAAGAAGCACAGGTAAAGATACCATCGGAAGAGGCAGACCAAACTCTGGTGTCCTCCAAAGATTGAACCAAGAAGGCTGACTTAAGTTTAGCAAACAAATAAGGGACTTACACTCATTGTCCCTCAATCCCCTCCAAAACCAAAACCCCAACTTATGCCAAAGCGAGAAAAAGTGACAAAATTGGATGGCATATAGCTTGTAGTAATTACTGAATACAGCTCAAGGAAAAGAGAACAAAAAGGAGTATGATCCTACAAAAGATCTTCCCAAAAGAGTACTCTAGAACCACAACCCACATCATATCTAATGAGATTAATAAAGATTTGATATACCTCTTGTATTTCCAAACAGAGCTTGAGGTTGATGAAGGAGATAACTCTGCATTCCATCCCTTATTCATCATCCCATGAATGCTTTCTATAACCTTGTGCCATAGCCTGTCTCTTTCCACCGGAAGCCTCCAAAGCCACTTTCCTGATAGAGAAGTATTTCTTTGAATTAAGTTACCCAGCCCTAGATCCCCCCCCCCTTTTCTCCTTTCTTTTATTGACTTCTTCCCACTTTACTAGGTGGCCTCTTTTTTCATCCCCAGGCTCCAAAGAAATCCCTCATGAATTTCTCTAATTGTCCTGCTATCCTAGTTGGAGTTCTAAAGGTAGACAGGAAATAGACTAAGGTTGGAGTTCTAAAGTTGGAGTTCCCACTTTGCTAAGGTTGCCCTAATCAAGGTTATTCTCCCACCTATAGATAAGTAATTCCTCTTCCACATAGCCAACTTCTTTGTGAACCTCTCCACTACTGGCTTCCAAAAAGCTTCTGATTTTGGATTCCCTCCCAGACCCAGTGGTAACCCTAAATACTCCAATGGCCATTGTTTAACCTCACACCCCAGAATCTCAGCTAGCATTCTCATATTTTCACCTTCAAAATTAATCCCTGTTATAACAACTGTTTCCCCAATTTATCTTCAATATGGAGACCGACTCGAAGGAACTAATGAGCTCTCACAGTTATCTTAAGCTTTCCTGGTTACTTCCTTCACAAATAGTATGATGTCATTTGCAAACAGCAAGCTTTACTGTCACCTCAAATGTCCCTACCCTTCAGCCTCTAAACCGGTTGTTCTATTTAGCCTCTATGATCATCCTACTTAGAACATCAGCACTTAAAGTGAAAAGGAAAGGAGATACAGGATTCCCTTGTCTCAACCCTCTCTTCACTGGAAAGTAATATCTCTAGCCACACCATTAAACAGCCCTTTATCCACATCCTCCACCACTCCCCCAATCCAATCCACAAAGTCATAGGCCTTCTCTAAATCCAACTTGCACACCAAACCTTTCCCTCTTCTCTGCTATGCATTCATTCACCACCAAAATCTAATCTACAATCAATCTCCCTTCGACAAAGGCACCTTGATGTTGTGAGCAGTGTTTTAAAAGGCGTGGGAGGCATACGCCTGGAGGGCTTCCAGGGAAGGCGCCCCAAAACGCCCTGAGGCATATGCCAAAGTCGATAACACCTCTGAGGCATACGCCTCATACGCTTTTTTCATGAGGTGTGCTAGAGGCGTACACCTCTTGCACCTTATGCACATCTCATGTAAAAAGACATAAAGAAAGAAAGAAAAAAAAGGAAAGGAAAGGAAAGGAAAGGAAAGGAAAGGAAAGGAAAGGGCAAGGAAGGGAAGGGAAGGGAAAGAAAAAGAAAGAGAAGAAAAAAGAGAAAAGAGAAAGAAAAGAAAAGGAATGGGAAGGGAAGAAAATATCCCCTCTTTCAACTAGTGATATGCATCTTCATTCTTAATATAACACAATTTTATTAAAAATAAAGAAAAATGAGATCATGTGCCTTACACCTCCTTGTGTTCAGGAGGCTTACGCCTCTTACATTCTGCCTCACGCCTCTACATAGTGGAACACCTCGTGTCACACCTCCACATTTAAAAACATTGGTTATGAGATGACCAAAGGTGACACCTTTTGCTAACACTTTGGATATGATCATGTAAAGACTCCCCACTAGGCTTATTGGTCTAAAATACTTTGGAAGTTTTGCCTCCATCTTAAGTATTAGGCAATAAAAGTTGAGTTTATTCCTTGAGAGATTTCCCCTTCAAAATGGAACTCATTGAAGACTTCCAACATATCTCCTTTGATAAGATCCCAACACTCCTGATAAAAGACCAAGGAAAAACCATTGGATCCAAGGGCTTTAGACCTTTCCATCAAAAATACAGCCTCTCTAATTTCTTTTAGAGTAAAGACATCCTCTATCGTTGCTGCTATGACTTCAGGCACTCTATTCCACTGAAGATCTGGGAAAATTAGGCTCCTCTCCCCTTGACTATAGACACTCTTAAAGTGATCTACAAAAATCCTGATAATCTCCACCTCCCTGGTTACCTCTTGGCCACCCACTTCTAGCCTAGTGATTAAGTTCTTCCTTCTCCAACTAGATAAAAAGTGAAAAAATTTAGTACTGCCACCCCCCTCCAAGATCCACTTACATCTGGATTTTTGCCTCCAAGAAATCTCTTCCTTCATGAGAACCTCTTCTAGCTCACACTTTAACCTCCACCTTTCCTCTCTTTCCTCACTACTCATAGTTCTAAGAGCTTTTATCTTATCTAACTCCTCAATCCTTGAAATAATTTTTTCTTTAGTCTCCTTATTCCAAGCCTTTATTTTCTCTTTCTATCCCAGAAGTCTCCTCAAGAAGCTACCCCTTTCTTCAAGCCTCTAGTCCCTAACTCTTGCCACCAACATTTGACCTTTTCCACAAATATGGGTAGGGGTGTTCATGGCCCAGTTGTGCGGTTTAGAGAAGATCTCATACCAAACCAATAAATAACAGTTTGAGAAATCCCCAAACCAAACCAGACCAAACAATTTTATTATGGTTTGGTGCGGTTTCTAATACGATTTGGGGAACTTTGGAACATTTTTTGCTTCTATTGGGATTAACCCAATTAAAAAGCGCAAATAGCACCCTAAAAATTAAAAGTTAGCACTTTTATTTTATTATTTTATTATAAAATAATGAGTTTATTACATATTTATAATTTTATACATGTGGTTTAGATATATTATATTGTATTATATATTTATTTATATACATCATTTATTTATATAATTATATTGTATATGTATAGATTTATATTATATATATAATTTTGGTTTACGGTTTACGGTTTGGTTTGGTTAAAAAGTCCAACAAAATAAACCAAAACCGTAAACTGCAATAGTAAAATATGAAACCGGACCAAACCACTTCCAAGTGCAGATTGAACCAAACCACAGTTCGGTTTTATGGTTTGAACCAAAAAATGAACACCCCTAATATGGGGTCATTTATGAATAATAATGGAATTTTATTAAAAACAGAAACTGATTCGGTATTACAATCTCATACAAGATCCCTTGGAGAGGCACAAGCTGCAGCCTCTCCTGACATAATGCCTAAATATGGGGTCTTTCAACCACATGTTTTCAAACCTAAACAACAAGGGGCCACCCAACAAAGTTGCTTATGTTAGGAAAATAGGGCAATGATCCGAGGTCACCTCACCAAAGCTCGGGAAATTAAATCTGCCCACAAAACTTCCCAGTCCACTGAGAATAGGAATCTATCTAGTTTAGAGCAAATTGGGGGGTTTTTGAAAATTCAACCAAGTTAGCTTATAGCAGTGGGAGCTCTTTTAGTACAAATAAATCCACAAACTCATTGAACTTCCCCATACTTGTGGTGATTCTCCGGCTTGGATTGTTTGTCTCCGTTAAAAACCTTGTTTATTGAAATCACCACCCAAACACCATGGTCCCTCCCACAAACCTCTAACTGCACTAAGCTCCTCCCATAAGTGAACCCTATCTCTATAGGAATTTGGAACATGAACATTTGTCAATGCCCATTCCTTACCATCAGACAGCCTTCTGAATTTGATTGAAACTGAGAATTGCCCGACTAACTCTTCTAGGCCTTCCAATTCTTCATTTTTCCAAATGGTGAGAATACCTCCAGAGGCTCGCCATGAGGGAGCAAAAACAACCCAACTTAAACCCCTTACACCCCATATGCTTCTAATCCATCTCCTGTCTATCTCCTAAAGCTTTGTTTCTTGCAATAACACCACATCTGGTTTCTCCGTCCTCAGGGCCTCTCTTATTAGTCTTCTCCTTTTTGCACTCCCTAAACCTCTCACGTTCCAAGTTCCAACTAGGGATCTCCATACCTACATCAGAGTTTTGAGCCCACTTTGTAGCCTTAGTTAATAGCCTATCTTTATTGTTTAATTGAGATCCCCTCAACAGTTCCTGATCAGAATATTTCTTTTTCATTAGTGAAATTTCCTTTCTATTATATATTATAAAATAAAAATCAGCAAGTTAATAATGATAAGAAGCATGCCATCTTATTCCATATATTGGATTTCCAGAAGCAATAAACAGAATTGATAGGATCATAAGCAGTTATATGCTCTGTGAACCTTAAAAAGTTTTTTGACAAGCTCTGGTGAAGAATTCCATGGTTGCATACAGAATGCTTGCTTCATCTTCACAGAATGTGGAGGAAACCTAGCCAGCAAATCTATGAGAATAAAATAGCTCTTGTCAGTGATAGAAAGTCCCATTTCCATCTTAAGAGAAGGAATGACTCTCTCCTTTAAGATGCAAGAGAGCAAAACCAAACCTTTGCAAAGGGAGCAACCATGTATTCCATTTGTTGCCAGATGATCGCAGCATGTTAGTGGATTTGGTCCTGCTTGTAGCTCTCTAAGCTCCAGTTCCTCATCATCCACCTGCACTGCTAATTCATTCGGCTGCTCTAAAGACCTTAATCCTTCCAGTGCAAGTTTGCATTCTACATTGTGTAGCCTCTTTGGATGGCCATCCTTGTTGCATTCCGTCTGAAAATTATAGACAAAACTACAGGATAGTAATTGATGCCCCAAAACATTTGCTTGCATCAAATGTAAAATCCATGTTTACCTTTCTTTTTCTCATAGAAGTTTTCTTATTCTGCAGTTTATTATCCAATCTTCTCTGTTTCTAGAAGAAAACAATATACTATCAGTACGCTTCTTAGAAGAAAATTCTTAAAACATCAACTTCCTTAGTGATGGTCAAAACATGAGAAATTAACAAGTATCTGCTGGAATAGTAGCCTTGACAAAGTACAAAAAAGAGGTGATCAAACCAAGTATTTACCTCAAGAAGCCTTTGATGTTGCAACCTTTTTTCTCTACCTTGTTTTTTGGATTTTGAAGAAGCCAAACTTGGTTGTATATTACCAGTTTCTATCCCAGTAAAATTGACGCCAGCAGGCAAACCTTTAGCATCAGGATTTGTAGCACGCCAAACTGTCATTAAGCCTTTCCCAATACCATGTTTCTTCACTGGAGCACTCTTGCAAATTTGAGAGTCTGGATTTGAGGACTTGGAGATCTGTGTGCATTAAGATGGGCAAAAATAAATCGCACATAGCATGTCCAGCAACAGATATGCAATGTAAATTTAATAATAATAGGATGGAATTAGGATTTGAGACCAAGAGATATTTCAATTTTCTCTTCCATTACCTTGGTTTGATGATCCATAGCAAGGGAGAGATTGAGGAAGATGTTACCCATAGAATTAGAGCAGGACAGGAAATATGGAGGGATGCATCTTTCTTAGCTTTTAGTATCCAAATATCAAGCAATATCAAAGTATATCTCAATATTAAGAGTACTTATTTCTTATAAGAATTTTATTAATAGAGGACATAGCGGGGGAAAAGGCAAAATCAGCATGAACTTCCAAAAGTGTAACCATACGCAAACATCAACAAATATGTTACGTTAAATCACATGAAACCATTTCTCTGATATGATGACTAACAGCCATCACTTACATCTTTTCTCCAACCAATGAGTATCTGCAAATCATCCTCTACCTCAACTCTGTTAAAACCAAGTCCCTGTTAAAACCCAAACAGATCATAAATCCAAGTCCATGTAAGCATCAAAACCTCTGCTCCAATTGAACCTCTTGGTCCCATCAGCCCAAAGAAAACTAAGATTGCATCATCAGTATGGCCTATGAACAGCTGCCACCACTCCCCCCCCCCAAATATATATAAAAAAAACCTCTGAGCTTATGCAAATTCCCAGGGAAGAATTAATCAACCAGTATGGTATTACAGGTTCCAAAGGAGATCTCCCATACACTTTTATGCACTTCGTCCAACACAATTTCCAAACCTTCAGTACTGCCCTCTAAAACTCCATTTTTACCTGAAGACCACATCCCTTGGTGGCTTCCTTCATACCAGATGTCACCCTTAGGGTTTCCAACCAAGCTGAGTGCTAATGAGAATCACCAAATATGTCCTTATCCCCTATCCCTCAGACAACTGCTATCCAATTCCTACACCCCTATTATTGCACAGACTCCCCTAATAGGATATGATCATCTGGCAACAAATGGAATGTATGGTTGTTTTTATAACTTTAAGTGTCTTTTAAATTCCTACATCCCTAGTATTTAATACCCAAATACCCATACAAGGGTGCCCTATCATGTCAAGTACTTCATTTTTTACTGTAAATTTTGTATCTTCTACCATATCCAGGTAACATAATGAGGGACAGTTCTACGTGACATTTTTCTTACTCTCATTTAATTATTTTTTGAAGGTAAAGTATATTTCACTGAAGGGAAACTTCAAAAGATACAACAGACAAGATCCCCAAGAAACTATACAATGAGAAATGGTACACCCTTATATCAGACAAAAAGTATACCAGAAAATAACAATTCAACCTTTAGCCTAGTAACACTCTTGAGAGAACAGATTAGAAAAGGAAATATTTCTGAACATCTCCACATATCCAGGTCTTAAATTCTTAATCCTTACAAAAAAAAAGGTTTTATAACTTTAAGTGTCTCTCTTTTAAAAGTATCTTTATTAGGATGAATGAATAAACAACATTAGCTAATATGGGGTTTTCGGACTTCTTTGGGGGCAGAGAAATATTTTTTAAGTGCCTCAAGGGGCTTGGTCAGGGGTCCTAGGGCAGAGCCCCTGGCCCAGCTGCTAGGCATAAAAAACAAAAAGAAAATGCACAAATTTTCAAAAGGCACACTAGGTGCACACTTACACACACCAGGCATGCACCTTTTGAAAGTGTTGCACCAGGACCTAGGCAAGGCGCATACCCTAAAATGTGCCTCACCTATGTGCCTAGGCATGCCCGAGACGCACTGTTTAAATCACTGCCCCCAAGCAAGTAGAAAATCCCCTTACAACCCTTATAACCCCTAAGTGCCATTACTACCCAAAAAAACAATTTATGCCCACCATCAATACCCAAACCATTCCACCCAGAACCAAATAAGAAACCAACTCTGCCCCAGTTTAATCAATTTCCACAGGATACCACTTTTCCAAATCCAGGAACATTTTTCTTGTGAATTCTTCCCCTCTCAAACGAGAAGCCCTAACGCTTTGCTTACATGAACCCCTGTTTCAACAATTTTTTCAAGGTCAACTCTCCTCTACCTCTCTTACATGGGCACCACCATCTTCCCCTTCACGTAACGTAATCTGCTTTAACTTCCCTTTTTCTTCCTCTTATAGATTCCTTTTAATTTATTACAAGGTACTAACCCATATAACCCTTCCTTCAACCTTGAAAAAAAAACTTAGTCACGCAAACCAGCTACCCTGAATCTATGCCTTTTTTTTGTATCGGCAACACAGAAAAAAGATTTCATTAATTAGAAGAAATCAGGTTACAACAAGAACTCATGAAAGAAAACCAGCTTTAGAAGCTGTCCCAATTCAAGATTATATTTGAGCCCAAAACATATGTGTTCTAGGTACCCCTTGCTTCTGCCATGCCTTTTGCTTTACTTTATCAGTGGCCTTTTGGTTTTATTGAGTTCAATGAACATCTACTCTTAAATTTATCCTCTTTCACTGGTAAACTGGTTTATTCTTGTTAGTTTCAAATCTCCTTCTGCCCAATTGCCCTACAATAACTTCAACAAAACTTATCTATCAAAAAAAAACAACTCCAACAAAACTTCTGAACCAGAAGAAGCCTACCCTCGACAATTTCAACATGGGATAAATAACACAGTTCTATGATGGGCAGCCTAATGCTTCTAAACTTAAAAAGTGGCAATTTCTACACCTAATGAGCACCAATACAGAACCCGGATTCCATTATATTCTAAAACTTGATTGGGTTTTACTTTTTAGAATTGCTATGTGAAATACTATACAATTTGGATTGCTAAGGTTCTGTTTACTCTGCCAATACTCACCAGCTAATATCTTAAAATGACTTCAAGAACTAATTCGTATCTAGACTCCAAAAATAAAGTACAACCAACCAACTTGATGCTTACTAAAATCATATGGTAGAATGCCACCAAGTAACCGCTACATATGTATACGCCTCCTTCAGAACATCACTAAGAATATGGAGGGATACTGTGATTGAAATCAAATAATAGAAAGACCATTACCCAGCAATGGTTCTAGCCATTTGAGGTCTTCGGAGGGGTGAATACAGACCTAACCTTTTGGCATTTTTTGCAGAAAGTGGCTGCTCTCAGACTCAAACTCATGTTTACATGCTACCATTGAACCAAAAAAATGACCCCTTAATGAAATCAAATGCAGAACCAATTAAAATAACAGTTATAAATGATTAAACTATCAGAAATTCATTTTGCTACCTTTCTCTTTTTGAGTGCTCTTTGGTTGTCTCGGCAAGCAGGATGAGAATTTCTGGAATCTGAGCATAACATTTAGAACACGTGAACTTTTAAGTTTGTTGTAATATAGAGTACAGAACAAAATATGTGAAAAAAAACGACACATTAAAAATGTAAAAAAATAAGGAAAAAAGAAATGCATTACTTCTATTTTCTAAGAAGACAAAAAAAAAATGTTGCTTCAAGAAGAACTGATTACCAAAGATAATCAGTTGTAAGAAAAAGTTAAGTGGCACTTTATATCATTTGTTATCTAAAGGAGGAAAGGAAAAGCAATGAGTTATTAAAAAATAAAACACTAAAAACAACAAATTTGCTTCCCACAGGTAGGCATCACCATATCACATATGTCAAGGATTCCAGAGAACAAGCTAACAGTGATCTAGAGAATCCACCAATAGGTCTCTTTTCTTTTATGGAACAATCAACAATTTTAAGGATGTTGACCTCAACTGTCTGCTAGTTAATTTCACATAACATGTCATGATAAATCTAGAGTGCACCACAGGAAGTAGGACACGCATCTTCACAATAAAAAGCCAACAGAGCAGAAGTGTGCAGCATACCTTTACAATGGTGAAAGGCTCCTGCAGGAAGAGCATCAAACTCCGAACCAAGAGGAGGACCATCTTTACGGAATACCTTCTTCAAAATGTAATCTGAAGGAAATATATCTTGGAGACAATAAAGTTTTCTCTTTAACTTGTTAGTCTTTCTTCTCACCATAGAGCTTCTCACCTTAACTGTTGAGGCCTCCCCAGATTCCTGCACAACATGGTGATTAGTAGATTATAACCTATTAATGTTGAATTGGTTTGACCACAGAAACTCAATTGTCCTATTCTTGAACATGATGGAGCTTTCACACTCTGAACCAAAAGACCCTGTGCTACAATTACTTCCACAGATGTTCTTCAAACATTTCTTACTGGTTGGACATACCTCATTTTCCCTTTTATCCTTCCTACGCCTCTCAACAAACCATCCTCGGACCTGCTTATATGTCAAGTTCAGTGCAGTAGCATAATCCTCCATCACTGCTTGTGTGGGGTATTGTTCCTCTGCTTACCAATTGGTTAAAGAATCAAAATAAGTTATAATCCAAAAGTTGCAGAAAGAAAAATAGCGTTAGTAAGCAGATATTTCCTCTTACTCTTAGAAACTTAAAGAAACAAAAAAGAATATATACCAAATGGTAAGCAGAGGTACACAAGTACCTCTGTTCTTGTGTACACAAGTATCTCAAAATGGTACACAAGTATATATATTCCAAATGGATATATATGCATACATACATACATATATGTGTGTGTGTGTGTGTATATATATTCCAAATGGTACACAATTATCTCAAAACCAATAACCAAACAGATTTCTTTTCTTGTACGGATGAGTTTAATTGAAAAAACAAGGGAGTGATGATACCTGAATAAAAGTTCTCCAAGGATTCAAGTTGAAACTGCGTCTTCCTCTTTGATCCATGTTTTTGCTTCATCTTTGCAACGTCATCATTTCCCATGAGCCCAACTACGAATCCTCAACAGAAAGTGAAATCAGTATTTGCAAACATTAAATGATTAAAAAGGGAAGGAAAAGAAAAAAAAACCTAAAACACATTTATCAGATTATTCCATGGTTACAAACCTTAAATATAAAAAAGCCCCTTAGCATTATCACTTTTTTTGACCGTCACAAAACCCCTTAGCTATATCTACATCATGACCTCCATCACTCAAGTTTGCAATATTTAAAGACACCTCTAAACTTTCTAAAAGATATATGCCCCCTATCCCATGCCTCACAATCTTAAGAACAGATAGGAGAAAACGAGACGACGTATTGAGTTTTATCGAATATTGGAATTGGTATAACTAATTCAAGTACACTTCCTCTGAAACTGACAACCCATAATCTCTTTTATCTTTAATATCAACACTTCGAGATTTCGCATGGAATGCAGTGAACAGAGTGCAAGTACAACAGGGAAGAAATCCCTCAACGATGCATCAGTAGAAATTGAATGCCCAAAGAGCTATTACTTGAAAGCATCATTTATTTCTCTGTGCTTCAAGATTGCAAGAAATAAAGTGAATTAAGAAAAAAAAAAAAAGAATATGGTGAACGATAGAGCATAGAAAGAGACAGAGAAGACTGAACCTTAGAGATAAACTCTGTGGAGCGGATGATGATGAGTTGATGACATCCGAAGTGGGTTCGTTCACTTGTTCGTTCTCAGGCCAAGACACTCAGTATCCCTGCCAAATGCAGTGGTCGTCAATCATTCCTCCATAATTCTATTCAGTGCAGAGGAAATGAATAGCCAGAAGAAGTTAATAATTCTATTCAGTGCAGAGGAAATGAATAGCCAGAAGAAGTTAGCAGAGATGGCAAATTCTATTACTGTAAATCTTCTTGTCTCCAGACCCACTCTCAGTTTCCGCGAATGACGATGGAGTCGGCTTTTCAGGTGAGCAAAGTATGTACAAGCAGCGAATAACCGAAATGAAGGAGAGACAGAGAAAGAAAGGTCGTAAGGGTAGCGATTTGTAGGGTTTTGGGTTTTGCGGTTTTTTTTTTCTCGTTTTGTTTTCTCTTCTTCTTTTGTTATTTTATTTGAAAAACAAAAAATATCGAAGGGAGGAACGGGATGACTTGATGAACCCTTATCACAAAGTTCACAACAAAAAATATCTTTAGAACCATGAAATTGAAGAATGATATTTTACTTTTGGATGGTGATTGCAGACAACGCGTTTATGCAACTCTTCTGTACTTCGCGCCAAGAAATATTTTAGTAAAAAATATACTGCACTCCACCTCAGAATTTTAATTCTACTGCACTCCAACTCAGAATTTTAAATTTCACTGCACTTCACCTCAGAATTTCAAATGCCCCCACTATAACACTAATACCTTTGGCATCAATTCCAAGCTGGCACCTACCCAATTGTATGGTGAAGCTAAGATTTGTTGGAGTGGACTGAACAATAAAAACCCCAACATTTTATGGACTCATCAGTCAGCCACACACGATCTCACCTCGCACGGGAAACGGGGAAAGCAAGACTACTTGTGGGATCTGCTTGTAAAATAATGCACCTTACACCGACTTCACATGCACATCTCACCATGTATTAGGAACATCTCCCATGAACAAAAACACATAAATACAGCTCTTGATACATGGTGAGATGTGTTTGTGAGGTCAGATGTGCAATTCCTGAGGAGATAATCCATACTTGCTCCCTACGTGTTTGGCGGCTTTGGCCCGAGTTCAGATCTACTATCCTTGAATGCATGGTGGCAACGAGTCGAGCTTTTCACGAGTAGCTCGAGCTCGGCTCGGTTTCAACTGAGCTCGAGCCCAATTCATTGGCTCGATTATTAAATGAGCCGAGCTCAAGCCTACTAGAGCTTGGCTCACGGCTCGTGAGGCTCGCGAGCTAGCTCATATATATATTTATATATATAAAATATAAAATAATATATATAATAAAAATATTATAATTCTTAATTTTTTAAATAACAAATATTTTTATATATAATTTTTTAATTTTATAAAATATTTGTTCTCAAAATCGAGTTCGAGCTTATGAATTTTTTACTTGAGCTCAAGGTTTTGGCTTGAACTGAGCTCGAACTCAAGGTTCTGGCTCAAATTGAGGTCGAGCTCGAGCCTGGTAGTAATCAGCTCGAATCCACCCCTAAGCGCACCTCAGAAGGACCTCACAACCCATCCCACCATGTGAGGTGCACTCTGTGAGAAAGATGTTCCCAATACGATGGGATGGGGCTATAAGTACCGTGTAAGGTGCACTATGTGAGGAGTAAATCGCGATTTGTTAGGCCATTGGTTTTTCATTTACTTTTTTTAATTTTAATTTAGTAAAGGATTAGCGGAAATTCATGGGATGCATGCATTTTGTTAAGTGAAAGCTAAACAATAAAAACAAATAATAGTAAAAAAATATTTTATATTTTAACTTTTTAAATAATTTAGAATTATTTATGTTTTGTATATTATTTTTAATATCTTTTATATTTTAACTTATATATATTATTTTATGTATTTTCTGGTTGGTTTTAGTTTAGTAATTTCTCAACTCGACTAGGTTGGGTTAATTTTGGTTTGGCCATTTGTAAACGAATATATAAATTTGAAAACCCACCTAAAAGATGGTGGTGTATAAGTTTCTTTTTTTTTGGAAACTTCGAAAACAAGAGGTGTAGATCAGGCCATGTCAGGTCAGCACGTCACAACACAACCCGTAGGTAGCCTATGAATAAAAATTTAACAAAAAATACTTAACAAAATACAAAATAGATAACAAATTAGAAAAAAATGGAATTTTAATTCATTTGAATTTGAATAATGCAATGGATGAATTGAATAATGGAAATGGAGTAAAATATACAAATAATATAATAAAATTATAAATTGAAAATAAAAAATTACAATGGTATTGTTAAAAAATAACAAATAATTTAAATAAAATTGAAAAACAAAATTGACAATAATTTTAAAAATAAAAATGCTATACAATTATTTAGTATATAAAAAAATATTGACTTCATTTTCTTCAAGTTCCACTTCCATCTCCATCTCATTGACTTTAATCTACAACATCTGCATCTTGTGAAACATTAGGTGAAGTGTCATGCCCTCATTTATCTTAACCAATCTTTCAAGCATACGCACATCTCTAGCTTTCATTGTTCATGCAGCTTTTCTTGTCATCTAGAACCCTAGTATTTGCATTAAAATAAGACTCCAATGAAACTGTGGACACCAGTGGGGTTAGGAGATCACATGTCATGGTGGCAAGAAATAGATAATTTTTTATGTTCACTCCACTAGGCTAAAAATCAAAATTATTTATTTCCTCCAAGTTGAATGAACCATTTAAATAAAAAAAAAAATTGCTTGTAAATAAAAATTAGGGTAAATACATGGACCCCATAGTACCCCCTATACTATGGGGTCTATGATGAATACCTCCTGCACTTTTTTTTGGCGACAAAGACCTCCCTAAACTTTGGTTGTTAAATAAAGACCCCCTTCGTTAGCATTCCGTCAGTACCCAATGTGCCCCACCACTAGATCTGATTGCAGAAAGGTCAACTGATTTGCCTCTATAGGATGAAATTGGTAACTTGGGGCTTTCCAAGGTGATACAGACTGATTCCTGCTAGTGGAGACCTTGTTCTTAAAATCCTAGATAAATTATGAATCCAAAAGATTTGTTTTTCAATAAAAAAAAGGAAAAAGAAAATACAGTGAGCTAGATTTAGATGGTATCATTACTTGCCATGTTTTAGTTGATCCCAAAACATTGTAGCAACGGAGCGATTGTTGGATGAGATGGGCGATTGGTGCCGAGAAAATTCCCATGGAGATTAAAAGGAGTTGGCATCGTTTGTTTACTAGTTGGTTATTGATTTATTTGTTTTTTGGAGTTGTTCTTCATTCTCCTCCGATAAGGCCTCTTTGTTGCCCATTTAGTAGGAAGCCTAAAAAGGGGAGCCACTATTTTTTGGTGGGTCAGTTATGTTTTAAGAAAATGGCAAGAAAAAAGAAAATTTAAAAAGTTTAATGGGGTATTTTGGTAATTTAATGCTTTCGTTGTCACTTAACACCAAAGGTGAATTTGTTGCAATGTAAAAGTTTAAGGGGTCTTTGTCAATGACCCCATAGTACAAGGGGGTCCTTATAGTTTATCCTAAAAATTAAGTTTACTCCCTTTTACTTATTAGAGACTAGCATTTTTCTCTTCCACTACTAAACTAGATGTTTCAAGGTGGAAGTAGAAATGGTACAGATTTTCCTATGCCCCTAATAATTGGATTCACATAAATTGTATACTACAAATAATAAAGTATTAATTTCTTATTTTTTATTTCCAATTCCATTAATCATGTTTTCACAATATGATTCAAGTGAAACATCTAAATCAATTTTCCTAATCCTATAATATTGTAGTTAAGCAATATAGTGGATAAATATTTCTCAATATTTTTGAAATTTAAATCTTGTTATTTCAATAATACTTTTAAAATTTGAATTATTTATATACTTTGCAAAATATTCACTAATAATAAATAAATGATTAACTAAAATATAACTAGTTGGGTAATAAACACTCGAAAATTTATTAGTTGTAACATAAAAAAATTGTAAAAAATCTTTTATGTGCGCTGCCATTTCCTAGTCATCTTTGGTTATAAAGTCACATGGCAATTTTTTATTGTAAAAATTATTAAGAATATCTTTGTATGAAATACAACTTTCTAACATAAAACAGGTAGAATTCCACCAATGTTGAAATGAAATTTAAAGCATCCTGAAACATAAATTTAAAATGTGACATGCACATCTAATATGAAATAACTTACCATTTAAAAATGGTTTAATTGAGATTTTAAAATATTTATTGTTGAATCATTATTACTAACATTATCAAAACTAATGGAAAAAAAATTAATTTTCGATTCCATAATTATATAAAGTATTTAAAATGATGGCAACAATTGCTAGACCACTATGTGGCCATTCCAACTAGTAAAACTTAAAATTCTTTTTTTGTAAAAGCCAATTTTTATCAATAAAATGTATAATAACACAAATATAACTTATATTATATTTAAAAGTCTAAATATCATAAGTTAGTGCAAATTAAGTGTTGATAAAGTATAAATTAAATTTTGTTTATATGAATATAAAACCTTTAAAACATCTGATCTAATAGTATTTCTAGAAACTTTTTTAAATTGGGGATTTACAAAATGTTGTAAAAATCATTTAAGCTTAGTGTCTTCAACTAATAAAAATGGTTGTTTAGCACGTAAAATATATTTTGCTAATTTTTGCCTCGTTTATTCTTGGGAATATTTAAAATTTCCAAAAAAAACCACACCTAATTTGTGTTTGTAATGATTATTCATCATCTTCTTCATTTTTCTCATGAGTAAGCATATGTTTGCCCAAATGACCAGTACCATCCTCACTACTATAATTAAAGCCACTCATACATTCACGACAAATGACTCTTCTTCCCTTCCCCACAACCTCTTCTTATTGGAAGGGTTAGGATCCATCGTATGAATGGCTAAACCATGCTAGATGACTGGGCGAATTTTCAAAAATTTCATAATCCTTATGGGAATTGAATTCCCTATGTTTTGAAAAACTGCATTTTTCAGAGTTGATTTTGCACTGAACCCGACCAAATTTGAAACCAATCAAAGAGGGAGATTTATATATGATACAGATACCACAAATGCAGATCCCAATGTGGAAGTTCATGCCCAAATCAGTCCCAAAACCAGCCTCCATTGAAGATGGCGCAATATGTAGGTGAATCTAATTCAAAAACTCATTTTTCAGCAAAACTGCAACCTAACTGCTTGGATCGAACTAGGGAAGATGAACCTGAAATTCCTTTGATTTTTTTTACAAAAATCATAAGAAAACTTATCTTTATCCATCCTTGAAATCCTAGGTAGTGATAGGGTTTATTGAAAGACAAAAGAGAAGAAGAGAGAACAAGAAAGAGTGGTGTTCTAATCTAATTCGACATCTTCTTCTTTTATTTCCTTATTGAGC